TGAACACCCCTGAATCATCATGACCCAGGAGACCTCTACTCTGAATGCCAAACCTGTGTTTCTGGCATCTGGCAGGCTTCACTGCCACAGTGACAACCCGCTTTTACTGCCATCTGGGTTTTTTGGAAATTTGGGTCTGAATGTACTGATAAAGCTTCCAAAACAAATTTGTTAGCTTGGGCCAATGGGAGTTTTCTCTTCCCCCATTCCCCATTCTTCCTAGAAACAGTCTACCTTTATGGAGAGAAACAGATGAAATCTCTGGAAACAGCCAAAAATGCAACCCTGGCTTCGCACACTGGCTTTCCTGCGTGGAACTACAGAAGGGGCTATGGATCCTTCCACTTCATCCTGCTGGTGTGGTAGGAGGCATTTCCCCTGAATTCAAGTCTTATTGACTGGGCAGTGTTTATAAATGCTATTTTCAGATCAGTCATGGGTTTGTTTTTTTTTTTCATTTGGCAGCCATTGTGGCATTATTACAATACCTCATTTTAAAGTTGTCAGCTTTCCAGGTTTTCCTATGAAACCTCCATTCATTCAGGAAGGGACATGTCAACTAATGTGTGGCCTTCCTGCGGCCGTGACAGCTTGGAGATGCTCAGGAAGACTGTCAACCTGTTAGCACCCCTGAGCATTGGCAGCTGTTAACTTTGAAAATCTAAATTCCTTTCTGCTCTCTTGACTCAGAAATGGTTTGCTTGAAATGCAAGAAACAAACATCATCAAATATTCCCACTTAGCAGGAGCTTGCTTCACGGGAAGGTCCGGTATGACTCGTGGATGGAGATGATTGGGATGCATTTACTGGTTTTCAGTTTAGCTTGTTTTCAAGAGAACTCTCAAGAAGGCAGCCTGTGTAGTCAGGTAGTAAGTTCTGGGCTCTTGTGGATATGCCTCTGATACCACTCTGTTGGGAGCTGGGTTAATTTCCTAACTAGGTTGGACTATCATTTTAGCCACTGGTTGCATTCTTTGCTTCAACCTGAAATTCAGTGTAGCTTTGAGTGTGGAGACACATGGTGGTGGCTTCATCTACTTCAGTGTTTGTTTTGACCAAAAGTTTATTTTTCTAGTGCATTTTTCTAAGTCAAAGTGGTATAAAAAATATGTAATTTTAGTATGCATGACTGGGTCTTAATAAAAATCCCTGTAAGGATGAGTGTGCATAGAGTTTGTTTTTTTGTTTTTTTTTTTTGGTGTTGCTGGGGATTGAACCCAGGGCTTTGTGATTGCGAGACAGGCACTCTACCAACTGAGCTATATCCCCAGCCCCCGTAGAGTTTGGATAAAGATTCTTAGGTTTCCTACTCACAGGCATGGCCAAAGCCTCCCTCCTCCAGGAGAGCCTGGGAGGGGTACTGTGGCAAATGTTGAGCTGGCTGCCCCCAAAGACCAGGTGCACCTAGACTGCATCATGTACCAAGGGGAGAGGATGTAATCATACATGGTGGTCACCCTCAGCAACTTACAAAAAATAAAAAGGGCTGGGGATATAGCTCAGAGGTAGACTGCATGCTCAGCATGCAGAAGGCTCAGGGTTTGGTCCCCAAACCAAATAATGATAAAGGTGGAGAGTCAGAAGATCAGTTATGGTATCACTTTCCTTGGGGGGAAGTTTTAACCAAGTGTTCATGCTCTTACCTGACTAGGTGCTAGCAACTTAGCAATAGTGACCTAGTAAAATAGTGACTGCTGTCAGGTGGTCACTAACTTTCCTGAAAATGATGGGCAGTGTCGTGAGCCAGCTTACTCCCCTCCATTGTCTCCAAGCAGTCTCTAGTATAACCTTCTGGATCCAGACAAAGGGTGTTTTGAGAAAAGAACTTAGAAGTCAAGCCCCAGGTTTGACTCCCTGCTTCTTCACCTCTTCCTGGGCAACAGGAAGTCTGACTACTTTCCAAGCCTCAGTTTGATTTAAGGGCAGGGGGGTGTGGGGACTCAGCACCTCACAGGGGTGTACACATTATCTATTCACGGCCTGGCACATGTAGCTGTTTATGTGGTATCTATTATTATTCTTCACCTGAGGAAAGAGGCAACGTGTGGCTTGGTCACCCAGCAGTCATCAGGACATCACCGAGGAGGAGGACTGATTTGGGTGCCTGGGTAACAGGATGGATAGGTCAACACAAAGGGAGAAAGATGACCAGCAGCTCCCGTGAAGAAACATAAGCCTGGTACCTACTACTAATTTCCAGAAATCAAATGCACATCATCATCTAAATACTCACATTCAACAGGTAAAAAGAAAAATATAGTCAAGCAAAGACTTTTATGATTGACAAAAAAAGGCTGTCCTGCTCTAAATTAGACCTGAGTTATGGTTTGGTCTGGAACACCAAGTTATCCTTTTAACCAGGTCTATGGTCATTCTTTGGCAGTTATCTTTGGCTATCAAGAGAAAGTTTTATTCCCCACTGAGTTTAAGGCCAACCTAAAAGGTAAACCAACACTTAACAGTTCTCTCCCAGCTCTAATGAGGTCAAAGTAGCAGCTGCTGCTTTAATTAACTCCTAGAACATGCTACTGACCACAAAGCCAAGGCCTTGACCTAAGAGGCCGTCCCAACCTGTTCTTACTGATGAAACACCAGGTGATTCATCTAGAATGAGATGAAACCATGGGATCTGATGATTCATAACACCACCCTGCTTTGAAGCATGATCTTCGCTTACTCAAAATGTTGGTATTATTAACATTTATGTATAATTCAGCATTCACGTGTATAATTCTTGAATGTCAATGACTGAGTTTCCTATTCACAGACAGACTTCATTCATTCTTAGGGGATGACCAACAGAAGGGACATTATCCCCAAACTTTAAAAGAGAGTTTGTTATTTCAAATTAATATCAAACTATCATCATGAGAAAAAAAAATAAAAACCTTTATTGGACTTTGTTACATTATTTTACAGTTTAGTATTGCTTTTATATTGAATTACATAATGCGGAAGAGGGGGGCACTGTAATGTTTTTGAAGTTTAGAACCTATAGAATTCTTTCTGGCTCCCCTGCTATTAAGGAACGGGAATCTGCTTTACTCTGGCAAGACCAAGGGCCAAACTCATTCACCCTCAAATCCTTTGCACTTTACTTCCACATACAAGCCTGACATACACGGCTGGTTTGAAGGACAGCAGTTCCAACCATTTGTTTCAAGCTTTGCTTCCCTCTCTCCACCTCTATGTTCATCTGGTTAATTCTATAAGAATACCTCAAATCCAGCCTCTACCAGATTCTGAACATCTGTGACCCTTGAATCTCATCCAGTCTCACTTTAACCCATAATGAGATTAGCAGCTCCTATCAAGAGTGCTTTAAGTGTGTTAAGCATTCTTCAAACCATCTAAGTACATCAGTACACAGGTTCTAGGTACCAATACTGAAGTTCAGAGAGGTAAAGTCATTTGCCCTAAGTCATAAAATGTGGTATGTACTCAGTAAATATTGGGCTGACCAGTTTGGCAACTGAAAAATGGAGAAGCTGCCAAGCATGGTAGTAGCCCAGGCCTGTGATCCCAGCAACATAGGAGGCTGAGGCAAGAGGACCAGAAGTGTGAGGCCAGCCTGGGCAACTTGGACCCTGTCTTAAAATAAAAAAACACTGGGGATATAGCTCAGTGGTAACATGCTCCTGGGTTCAATCCCCAATTTGGGGATGGGGAGCAAAGTTGGGGTGCAAACCTAAAAGCTTACTCCCAAGACTGTACTCATTCTGAAGGGACCACCTCTAATTTCCAGTGTTAAAATTCTAATTACCAAGTAGCCCTCACTCTCCTTCCCCCCATGTCCCCTTCTACTACTTTATTTCAAATTTCCTATGAACTGCTTCTGGTATCATCTCTCTATATCCATCCTCTCTGTATCAGCCCAAGTGACCAAAGACACAGTTTGCGCATGTTGCTCTGAAGATGCGCTCTGTTGCCCTCAACATTACAGTCCAAACTCTCATGAGGGTCTATAAAGCACTTCAGAACTCAGTCCCCATAGTCTCTCCCCGTCCATTCCGACTTCACTGAATATTTTTTCCCATCTCCCTGCTTTTAAGTGTAGTTCTGCCCATCCTCAGCAATGTCACTCCACTATCCCATGTCTCTCTAGCTTACTCCTAACAGCACTTCTCTAGGAAGTCCATTGTGACACCCTCTACCCCAGGTACCCGTCCTCCTGATTCCTGCAATCCCAAAATCACAGCACTAACTCACATCAGAACCACCCATCAGCTCATTTTCACACTCCTCTACACTGTCCAAGAAGGAAGAGCCTGTGGTCTGTCATATTTAAAGCTGTGTTCCAGGGCCTGCTGTGGAATAGACACCCAGTAAATCTTTGCTAAAAGAACTGCTTTATTCTACCTCCTTGTATGATGCCTCTCTGAATTATATTTCTTGACAGTGCCTTAACTATTCCTCATCTACCAAAGTCTTACCCAGAGAAGATAATCGGGATAATTTTTGAATGAGTTCAAGACTCAGAAGGAACAGGGGCATCCTGATGTGATGCTAGATAAACCTGTGACTGTCCAAAAATTAATGCATGGCTATTAACTCAGAAAGCTGTTAAAGAAAGGGCCTTAAAAGTTTAATGTCTTTCTATTATAATCAAATACCTTTATAGTGCAAATATATAACTTACATGCATTTTACTTTTACATACTCATGACAAGATCATTACATAGACATTGTGGTATTTCCCCAAATGAATCTTCATTTTAATCAAACCTACAAAGCATTTATTGAAATTAACATATCTGGCAAAGCCACAGACTTGTATCAAGCTGCATCAATGCTGTAGTATTAAAAAAGTAAATAAACTCAAGCTGTAGAAGCAGCAGCCTCATCAGCAATCACGCTTCTGGAGAAGGACCCACATACATGATCCTTACCCAAGAATGATGATGCAACACATCTCCAAAGAGTTTACGCACTGAACAATGTGCTTAAATCACACAATAAAGACTTTCATGGAGGGAAATGTCATATAAATGCATTTTTTCTTTTTAAGGAGAATGCAATAGAAATATATTAATGATAGCTTCAAATATCCAATATTCTTCTATCTTATATTTTAAACGAGATTTGTAGAACCCTACATATCTTTATAAAGAACTCTCTTCACAGCACAGCTGTAGTTCTCTTTAAAAACGCAAAAATGTTCTCTTGTGCTATATCCTTACAAATAAAAATACATAAAAACGAAAAGTTCAGATTCCGCATCAAGCATTTTCAATCTTGCTTTTTGATATAAACCAGAATATAGTCAAATTTGCAAAGCGTTCACTTAATAGTTTAGTCGAAGCAAACTTAAAAGGGATATGAGTTTTCAGCAAAGGTGAGACCTTTAGGAACTTCAGCAGTGTCCTTGGCACTCAGAAGTTCAGCTGAAATCCCGACTGGTGAGGACTAATGGAGCCACAAGGGTCCAGACATAAAGGAGGAGGCACACCCAGCTGGAGGTGATCTTGACCCACACAGCAGGCCACTTGCTGGTCACATTCTGGAACTTGGCATCAGGGCTAAGAAAACAAAAAGAGTCAGGTAAAGGAACCTGGTACCAGCATCCTGCAGACCCTAGTTAAGGCAAGAAAGTCCCCTGTGAAACCTTGCTGGCATTAGTACCCCAGTACATTTCTAGGGGAAAGTTAAAGAGGAAGCTATTTTTAGTTGTTATGAGGAAATATTTGGCCTCTCAAAATAGCATTTTTCCTCCTGTCAGCATGAAAGACTTCAGCTATTCTTTGGGTAAAATGCTTCAGGACCACTTGGCTGTTCTAATTATTGGTAAAAGTCTAGGTTAAAATGGGCCTCCCTGAAACATTCCTTCCTTAGCACATTATTACTCTGACCAAAATATTTTGATATGGCCTTCTCTATGTACAGAGAAAACTTGTCTACAAAGATGGGTTAAGCTCCTATAAAATATCGTGATTTTTCTCTCTCAAATAAATCAAGTCTAGAAAAACTCCCAAAGTATTTTCACCGCAAAGAATTCCAAAAGGGTTTTAAATGCAGAGGGGAGAAAGTCCAAAGTCTTTCAGAGAGAGCACCGAGCAGAGCTTATTACAGGAGTAAAATAAGGGGTGATACGGTCAGGACAATAGATAAAGAATCACAGGCGGTCCAAGGGGCTAAGTGGTCTTCCACCTTTTTGTCTATGCCTCACCTGTACCAGCTGGTCAGTGTCATCATGATGTACAAGGAAGCCAAGCAGAGCATCAGATGGAAAAACGAGTAGCTATACTGCACTCCCTCTTTCTCATTGTCCACAGCCCGCCGAGGCTGTCCATCTTCTTCATCGTTGGCTCCGCTGGCATTGGTATCACCAAGGATCACGCTGTCACTCCCTGAGAGGGTCAGCTTGTTTACTTGGCTGTTGCTGGAAGTTCGGATGCTGGAAAGTAAGGAAGACAAATCAGAAAGGGGCCATGAAATGAACTGATGCCTTTGGCCTGCAAATATTATATTGTAGCTGCTCCAACTTTGGAGACTAAGGTCTCTGCTTAAAATTCTGAACTGCTGCCTGTCATCATAGGGCTGACCATACTTGCATCAGTTACGACCCCATGGCCCAACTCCCAAAGCACACTATGTTCCTATTACTTCAAAGGGCCTCTTCTATGCTTGGATGTACCACCCACCAACCTTTTCCCAGCTAACTTACTCATCCCTCACTTCTCTGACTCAGTGCCATGTCCTCTGGAAAGACTTCCCTGACATCAGCCCTCACTAGGCTGAGTTAGAGGCTTCCTCCCACCTCCCAATGCTCCCTAGGGCATCCTTCTGCCTCAGCACTTTTCGTTCCTGCCTTGTTCTTTGCTTACTAGGCAAAAGAACTCCCTAACAAGATGCAGAGTCATCTATGTGTCTCTAGCACTGCAGATGCTTACTACAAGCAGGAGTTAAATGACTGAATTAAAAAATACACATGAATGAATGACAAAAACTACATGACCATTTCAACAGACAGAAAAAACATCTGACAAAACCCAATGACCTTTCAAGATAAAAATACTCAAAGTAGGAATACACAACTTTCTCCAACTGATAAAATACATCAGTGAAAACCGAACCGCAGTGCTAACAGCATACTTAATGGTGAAAAACTAAAAGGTTCCTCCTAAGATCAAGAACAAGAGAAGAATCCCACTCTTCACTTGGCTATTTAATGCTATACCAGAAGATCTGGCCAGAATAATGAAGCAAAAGAAATGAAAGGTATCCAACTAGAAAGGAAGTAAAACCAACTCTATTAGCAGATAACTTGATCTTGTATGTAGAAAATCCTATGGAATAAACACACATAAACCTTTAGAACCAATGAATGAGCTCAGCAAGTTAGCTGAATACAAGATCAACACACAAAAATGAACTATGGGGCTGGGGATGTGGCTCAAGCGGTAGCGTGCTCGCCTGACGTGTGGGCGGGGCGCTGGGTTCGATTCTCAGCACCACATAAAAAAAAATAAAGATGTTGTGTCCACTGGAAACTAAAAAATAAGTATTAAAAAATTCTCTCTCTCAAAAAATAAATCAACTATGTTTCCATACTTGAGAAATGAGCAATCCCAAAGTTGAACAACTGTATCTACAATACCCTCAAATCAAATAAAACATTTAGAAATTTACAAAATATGTTTAAGATCTGTACACTAGTTAACTATAATCCACTGAAAGAAATTAAAGAACTAAATAAGTGGTCTAAATAAAAAAGATATAAATATTTCACACTCATAGACTGAAAGCCTTAATACTGTTAAAATAATAATATCCTCCCAAACTGATCTACAGAACCAATGTAAACCCTATCAAAATCTCAACTACCTTTTCTTTCTGGTACTAAGGATTGATCCCAGGGGCACTTCACCAATAAACTATTTCCCCAGCTCTTTTTATGTTTTATTTATTTTTTTCTTTTTTTTTTTTTAAGAGAGAGAGAGAAAGAGAGAGAGAGAGAGAGAGAGAGAGAGAGAGAATCTTAATATTTATTTTTTAGTTTTCAGCAGACACAACATCTTTGTTTGTATGTGGTGCTGAGGATCGAACCCGGGCCGCATGCATGCCAGGCAAGCCACGCTACCACTTGAGCCACATCCCCAGCCCTTTATGTTTTATTTTGAGAGGGTTTCAGTAAGACGTCCAGGGTGGTCTCAATATTTATGACCCTTATTCTTCAGGCTCCTGAGTAGCTGGGATCACAGGTACTCAGGAGCCTGGCTCTGATTATCTATTTTTACAGAAACTGACAAGCTCATCCTAAAATTCACATAAAAATACAAATGACCCAAAACAATCTTAAAAAAGAACAATTTAGAGAATTCCAACTTCCCAATTTCAAAACTTACTGCAAAGCTATAGTAATCAAAACAGTTTGGTACTGGCCTAAGGTAAAACATACAAACCAATGAAACAAAACCACAGGCCTAGAAATAAAACTATTACATTTGTGGTCAACTGATTTTTGATAAAGATGCCAAGACAATTCAATGGGAGAAAGGAGAATTTCTTCAACAAATGGTCTGGGACAACTGAATAATCACAAGGGGAAGAACTGGAACCTCTACCTCAAGCCATATATAAAAACAATAAAAAGACAACCTAATTAAAAAACAAGTAAAAGCCTTAAATAGAAAATTAAAGAAGCTCTACCAATAAGCACATGAATAAGATGCCTACCATTAGTTAGAGAAACACAAATCAAAATCACAACAAAATGCTACTCCACTCACTCTAGTATGGTTACAATTTAAAAGGTAGACAATTACAGTATAATGATTAGGATATGGTCAAATTGGAAATTTTGTTGGGGGAACATAACATGATGCAGCCACTACATGGAGAATACTTTGGCAGTTCCTTAAGAAGTTAAATTGTTACCAAATAACTGAGAAATTCCACTCCTACCTATGTTCAAGAGAGCTAAAAACATACATCCACACAAAACACTTGTACACAAACATTAACAGCTGCATTTTTCAAAACAGTCACATAAGGGAAATAACCCAAATGTCCACCAATTGATTAACAACAACTGTGTTACAGCTACACAATGGGATCCAATATTTTCTTTTTTTTTTTTAAAGAGAGAGAGAGAGGTAGAGAGAGAGAGAGAATTTTTAATATTTATTATTTAGTTATCAGCTGGTACAACATCTTTGTTTGTATGTGGTGCTGAGGATCGAACCCCGGCCGCACGCACGACAGGCAAGCGCGCTACCGCTTGAGCCACATCCCCAGCCCAAGGGATTCCAATATTTTCTATTAAAAAAAGGAATAATTACTGATATAAGTTACTACAAGGATTAACCTCAAAACTATTCAGCAAAAGCTGTCAGACCTCACATTACTGCATTTAGTCAAGTGCCATACTATGTTTCAGTTGATGACAGGACTGCACATGACAGTGGTTCTATAAGATCACAGAACCTAATGACACTGGTGCCATCTCAGTTTATGTAATAAGCACACACTACGATGTTCGAACAATTAAATCATCTAACAACGCATTTCTCAGAGTATCCTTGTATACTCAGGACTATACATGAAATCTATGTATTTTACACACGTGCACATGTGTGTATGTGTATATAAATATATAAAAGTATTTATACAGTGTGAGCCATGACTACATATGGAACGTTTGAGTAGGCAAATCTACAGACACATGAAGTAGATTAGTAGTTGCCAGAAGCAGAAAGGAGGGTGATTGGGGAGTGACTGCTAACGGGTACAGGATTTTTGTACGAATGAAAATGCTTTCCTTTTGTGTTATTTTGTTGTGGTGCTAGGAATCAAACCCAGGACCTCCACATGTCAGACAAGTATTCTACCACTGACCTACACCCCTAGCCCCAAGATTTTTTTTTCTAAAAAGATAATCCATCCAGTTTTGAAAGCCACTATTGTATTCTCATTTCTTTCTAAGACTTTGAGGAATTATCTGGTGAGATGATATTCTGGACTTTAAGAAATACAGATCCCCCCTAGGAGCTGGGGATGTCACTAGGTGGTAGAGTGCTTGCCTAGCATGCTCAAGGCTCTGGGTTCAATCCTCAGTATCAAAAAAAAGAAAGAAACACACATAGCTGGGTAACTGAGGTGCATAAAGAACTTCTCATTAAAGAGAACTGTTTTTTCCATTCCTCAAAATAGTTTTAAAAGAAAAATACCTTCTTCATTCTATTATTATCTTTCATGAGACCCTTAGACTAACCACCTTTTAACTTACCTAGAATACAAAAGACAGAAAACAAAGACTGCAAGCCCTAGAAGATTTTCTGCATCCAGAAAGTGCGCCTTCTTCGATGGTGGAGCAGAGGTAGGGACTACAACAGTGGAATTTGCAGGAGTCATGGTTGGTGAAGCGATGTGTGTAATGATGCTCAGTAGGGTGGGGTTGCAGGATCGATCTGAAAATGGGAAATTTTTATTATCCATAGTTTCAGCTCATCTTGTTCCAAGAAAGAATTAAGAGATTGCCTATATATCATTCAGTGCTGATGTGAAACATGAGAATACTTCATCCAGCTGGAAACTCAGAAGTCAGTAATGTATATGTGCTGAAATTAGTGATTTAGTTTCAGAAAACAAGAAACGACAGTATCTGTCAAATTCGTAAACATCAAGCATGATTTTCCTGGCTTTATAGTTTACCTGAAAGATCTTTTTAGTTATATAGTACCAAGGCTTTATGCACACAAGTTTATCCTAAGCTTTAACATAGTTATTTAATAAAAATTAAGTTACTGAGCTGGGGTTGTGGCTCAGTGGTAGAGTGCTTGCCTAGCATGTGTGAGGCACTGGGCTTAATTCTCAGCACTGCATATGAATAAAAAATAAAGGTATTTTGTCCATCTACAACTAAAAATTTAAAAAAATATATCATGAGAGGGGGGCTACAATAATTGTTTACCTTTATAGAGTCCACAGAATGACCTATTGAGAACAATCCTATAATAGCTGTAAAAGGAGATTTTCTTACAGCTATTTCTGCCATGTCTATGACAACAAAGTAAAATAACCTTACAAAGGACCAAAACAAGGTCACTCTTGTGAAGAGCTCTTACTAGTGTCAAAAGGTCTTCCTAGGTCTTACATATGGGGAATAAAACATAAAAGGTAAATATCTGTAAATCTACAGTGACCACTGTTCAATTACAACATTTAAAATGTTGTTGTCTGTTTCATATTTGCTCTACCTCTAGTTTTTACACCCACCAAAGAGTTACTTTCCTATTTTCATCCTATGAAAGTGTTACTGACATTCCTTACCAGGTTCATTTGTCATGGCTGACCACGTGAGGTACAGGGTGTAGAGCGTGATGACAGAGGACTGTAGGAGGCCAGAACGAGGCTGATGTTCCTAGGGAATAAAAAGGAAAACTGCCAAAGGGATTGCAAAGTCTCTCTTTCTAAAAGCCAATGTGCTTCACTGCGATTTGCTGAATTGTTAGTAGCTGAGAACCTATTGATTTTGCTTGACAGTTGAAAGTGGACAAGTAACCTGTCAATCTAAGTTTGTTTGCAAAAGAATTAAGAAATATAAAACATCTACTGACTCTCAAGGCATTCTTTGATCCTGAAAATTCCTGTACATCACACAACAGTTTTGATTGTTTAGTCCCTTGTTGTAATAGGAAGAGTCTCAGCTCAGCTCTGTTACTAATCAGTGAGGTAATCCATCGCTTCTTTCACTGAGCTATATCCCAAGCCTTTTTGTTTTTTATTTTGAGGCAGGGTCTCACTAAGTTGCCCAGGCTGGCCTTGAACTTATGATCTTCTGCCTCCCAGGTTACAGTTCTCTCACTTTTAACCCAGAAGTGAAAACTAGATGTCTTTTAATATCTAAAACCGCAATGATTTTTTTTTTTTTTTTTTTTTTTTATCATGATGCTGGGGAAGGAACTCAGGGCTCTGTGCATATGAGGCAAGCATTCTACCAACTGAGCTACATCCCCAGCACAGCACGGTCTTAATGTTTTCCCATCAGAATAAGCACAATGTCTCTACATTTAGTTATTCTAAGGTATGGCCAATCTTCACGACCACTGAGGTACATATTAACCCTGTATAATGTTTAAAAAATGACCCTCAAGAGCATAAATCTTTGTTTTTAATATTAAAGTTAACTATTTCTCCTAAAATGTTAACTAATGACTCAATGATTCCCAAGACTTACATAGTTTTAGAAGATCTAAAAATTCTCAAGTTCCTCAGCTTTTTTTTAAATGAAAGGGAAATTAATCATGACAGAGGCACTCAATAACATAATATATGCTTATTAACTTGTAACTATGAAGACTGTAACATAATATGGAAAAATATTTAAAAGGGTAACTCAGACATAAATTCACTAAAGGGTTACTAAGTTTTTGAAATTAGTGTTAATTAAAAACTGTTCACAGGGCCAGGCATGGTGAAATCCCAGCAGCTCAGGAGCTGAGACAGACAGGAGGATTTTAAGTTCAAGGCCAGCCTCAACAACTTGGAGAGACCCTATGAAACTCACTGAGACTCTGTCTCAAAATAAAAATTAAAAAAGGGATGTAGATGTGGCTCAGTGGTTAAGCCCCACTGGGTTCCATCCTTGATATACAAACACAAAAACAATCTTTTCACAGCAGGAAGAAGCAGAAAACAACCATACCTGAATTTTTGGGTGGATCGATATAATGGAAACTACAATGCAGAGAATCAGATTAATACTGATGAAGAACTTGTTTTCTGTGCAGCCATCTGGTTTTGTGTAGTATGTGTAGAATAACCCAACAACGATGATTGACATGACATAAAAAAAGGTTGTAACAGAGAGCAAAGCTGGAAAAAGAGAAACAAATATAAATATCCACAATTCTCAGAAAACTTCTACAATGAAGACCTATTTCTTTTTTATACTATATAAAAATGAAGATGCATTAAATTACCCACCCTCATGGTGGTCAAGAATTTATAACAAAATTTCAGAAGCCCCAAGGTTAGTTTCGGGTTGTGTTGGCTCAACGTTAATTTCTAAAACCCAAGAAGCAAGTGAATTCACTTCCTGGATTATCTAATTTGGTTTCATTGCCTAGATTACCAGATATTTGGTCATTCCAGTTGGAGTAAACTGCTAATTTGACTGTTAAATAAGGAGTTCCAGAAGCTTTATATAGCTTAGATGATTCCTGGGCCCTCAAAATGGCACAATTCATAGGAAGCAATATGCCAGGAGGTGAGAGGGGTAAATAAAACAGGCATCTTTTTATAATAGTTTTTCTTCTGTGGCCACTGGCTACCCAAACTGTTTCCGATCACAATGAGAAAGTAGATCATTTGCTATTTCCAAATATCTACATGAATGCTTCTTTCTAGTCATAAGGTTAACCAAAAATTAATTACTTAATTCTGAAATTAAGAAACAGGAAGAGACTGTACAGTACACCAAGTAAACCTGTGTTCAATTTGAAGCAAAGACTTACGAGAGAAAATTGGTTTCTACTTATCTGGATGGATTTCACACGTTTAAAATTAAACTTTCTACATTAGGTCACCAGCACAGTTCTTAATGTTTTTCCATCAGAATAGAGATAAATTTCTCTATACTTAGCTACTCTTAAGGTAGGTACAGTCAATCTTCAACTCATAAAATTCTTCTAGAGTTATATGATCCAAAATGAATTATATAAAAATTTTCTAAATTAAAAAAAAAAAGTATAGCTGGGTATGGTGGCACACACCTGTAATCACAGTTACTCAGAAGGCTGGGTCAGGAAGGACTATAAGTTTGAGGCCAGTCTGAGAAACTCAGAGAGAACCTGTCTCAAAAAATATAAAAGGGTGCATAGAGGGGCTTGCCTAGCATGTACAAAGGCCTGGGTTCAATCCCCACTACTGCCCCACCCTCTCCAAAGGAAGGAATTATAGAAAACACAATAGATAAAAAAATAAAATTTTACTAGAATGAAGTAAAGAAGTTTAGGAGTTCCCAGCCCAACATGATGAATGATACAGAAAAATTTTTAAATCTTTTTCTTAAAAAAAATAGTACTTCAAGTGACTAAGAATAGGGTAAATAAATAAATAAATTTTGGTATACTTTGCCATGGAATACCAAAGAATTACATGGATATTATTCCATGCAGCTATTAAATAAATACTATACATATATAGCATACATAATCCTGTTTATATTTAAACACAAAAATGTATGTTGCATTAATATATAACTGTTAGATAATAGTGGCTACATCTAGAATAGAAAATGGATTGCAGACAAGCAGGGAATTGCATGTTTTGTCCTTTATAAATATTTTTTTCTTTCTCTTTTGCAGTGCTAAGGATTGAGCCTGGGGCATGCAAGAAGGCACTCTACCACTGAGCTATATCCCTACTCTTGCTCTTTATCAATTTCTATCACTTGTGTTTATGGTGAATACAGTATTACTTTCCTTTACACACACACACACACACACACACACACACACACACAATTTGTGAGTGTATGTGTGTGTAAATACTTCTAAAATAAGCCAAATAAGTGAAATGAAAAACTGAGCAATTTGTATATGCACTAAAAGCATTTAAAACTCTTATGCACTTTGATCCTTCTCCTCCTGGAAATTTAGCCTAAGGTAACAATCAGAAATGTAATCAAACATATTAGGTATTTACTTCTGTACCATAAGCCAAAATAAGTTCACAAGCTATTTCTAAGTTCAAAAAAGCCAAATTATAAACCATTTACATGCACAATACATTAAGAAAATAAACAAAACCATGTTACACACATTTGAATTTCATACACAAAAAATATGCATGTACATGTAAAAAAAAAGACTAATATGTTAACAGTGAATAATTATTATTAGATAGTTGGACTACGGGAAATTTGTTTTCTCTTTCAGTGCTGGTGATTAACCGAGGACCTTACACGTCGTAAGCACATACTTCTCCTCTGAGCTACACTCCCACACCTTGAGAATTTTTCTTTTCTTTTCACCCTTATTTGTTTTTATATAATGCTGAGGATCGAACCCAGTGCCTCACACGTGGTAGGCAAGTGCTCTACCACTGAGCCACAACCACAGCCCCGAGAGTTTTTCTTTTGTGACAGATCTCTGTTTTCCAAGTTCTTGACACAGCATCTATTATTTATAATGGGGGATGGGACTGGGAATGAGAAGTCTCAACTGTTATTTTAAAAATGCAATAAAGCCTAATAAACAGAAGGCTACAAAGCCCCTCCCCATTATTAAATAGGCTTTAAATTCTATTCCCTACCTAGAAATGTGAAGTGTTCTTTTCCCACCAGAAAGCTTTCACAAGAGGTGTGGGGTCACACTCTGAATAAAGCAGTTACCCCTATCCACTTGAGGTATATGGGCAGCTGTCCCAAATGTAGAACCTACCTGATTTCCCTGTCCATTGAAACAGGTTTGCCCAAACCAGGAGTATGTCACTAAATATTTTCCTTATCTAAACACAGGTAGTTATATTATAAATCTCAAAATAAATTGGCTCAGAGAATCTATTGATTTAAAATATCTTTGCTGTTCCCTTCTGGAAACCCATTGGAAAATTTTAGTTTTTTTAAAAAGCAGCTCTAGGGCTGGGGATGTGGCTCAAGCGGTAGCGCGCCCGTCTAGCATGCACGCGGCCCGGGTTCGATCCTCAGCACCACATACCAACAAAGATGTTGTGTTTGCCGAAAACTAAGAAATAAAAAAATGTTAAAATTCAAAAAAAAAAAAAAAAAGCAGCTCTATATTGGAGTTTATACATTTAATCACTGGAGATTTTATTGAACACTCTGTTTAATGCAGCAGCATGGCTGTCAGAGGTGAGTTTAGCTACTTACCGGCATACCAGACCCTTGGGTTTCCTTCTTCCATACGACTCACCCATGATTCATTCCAAGAGTGGGCAAAGTCTACCAAGAGTACCAGCTGGATGAGGATGAAGAAAGCAGCCCCCACCATGCCGACGGCAAACCAGACTACAAACCAAAGGAATGGAGTTATTCTTTCCCACAGGAGGAACATTTCAGAATTACTTTCAACATTCTGAACAGATTTCAATAGACATAGTTAAGACATTCTGGCCCCAGCAGTATAGCAAGACTACTACAATTCCAAACTCAAATAGCATTCTCTGAGCAGTGTTCTATTAGGTTTCAGACCTTTTAAAACTTGTTTTAGCTTGTGCCAAGGGAGCCAAGGGTCTGACATTCCAACTGGTTCTATATAAGTCCTTTCCTTTACTTTTATGGGTGGGAGATTGCAACAGAAATCCTCAAATGTTACTTGATGCCATGTTAAGGAAGCAGATTACAAATGAGATAATGGAATAGAAGAGTTACAAGTCCTCACATTGACAAGGTTTCTGATTAACTTTATTTTGCCAAGTAAGACGATATGCAATCAAAATATTACCAAAAGATTAGCATATGGTTCCCAAAAAGCTGAGAACAGGCTGAATGCCTCCTGGATTTAATCAATCACTGTTGTAATATTAGTATATCATCTCAGTTAATGGTTGGTTCTGCAAAATCATTAAGGAAAGTGTAGCTCTAAGTCAATCATCTATAAAACTGTACATCTTATAACTAACCCAACAGTAGTGAACCATACCTGAAGTGAAAGAGCCCCCAGGGATGTAGAAAGATCCAACCATGATACCAACAATGGCAGCAATTTTGAAAAACCAAAACCTATTAAAAACAAAAATGCATTTATGTAATATTATAATTTGAGTTCTTACACTGAGCAACATAAATTTCTAAATGCAAAAATAAAGCCTTAATAGCATTACCAAAATGAATGACTGGCTTATTCATTTGATATGAGGCTACTTCATTCAATATTTCATATAAAGGACATCAGCAGCACAGAAACAATGCAAATGTAAGAATCCACTTTTAGCACTTAAAGTAAGGGCTTTTCTAGAATTATGGGTTTTAATAGGGTTAGTACATACAGATCCATTAACTACTAGGTTTGTGAGAAAATTTATTACCAAATCCTCCATTTATAACACAGGACATAAAAACCTTGCCCACAATCACACAGCTTATTACTAGCAAAGCTAGGGCCAAATCTGACTTTCAGTGTATCATCTTTTTTTCAATATATACATCTTTTAGTTGTTGATAGACCTTTATTTTACTTATTTATATACAGTGCTGAGACTTGAACCCAGTGCCTCACACATGTCAGGCAAGTGTGCTACCACTGAGCCACAGTCACAGCCCCTCAGTGTATCATCTTTAATAATTGTCTTGCATGGCAGAAGAGAAATCACTGGCTGAAAGATCTCAGGCAAAATATATTTAACCTCTGAAATTCAATTACTGCACCTATAAAAAGGGAGATTACAAGAATTTACAAAACTGTTTTCAGTTTTCAAATGAGAAATATTATATGTGTGTGTGTGTGTGTGTGTGTGTGTGTGTGTGTATGGGAAATTGGTGATCAGGAGTAGGAAGCATTAAAATATGTAAATCAGCAGTCCATATATATATTCACTATCTTTTTTATACACTGCTTAAATGTGTCAAGTACATGTTTCTGTTTAAATATTTAAACAGCAGAAAGGAAAATGTGCGTTGTGTGTAGGGCTTAGCATAGTGTTTGACCTGTTCAAAAGTGTTCAACAGGGACAAGGATGTGGCTTGGTGGTAGAGTGCTTGCCTAATATGTGAGAAACCCTGGGTTTAATCCCTGGCACTGCAAAAAAAAAAAAGAGGGCAATAAGATAACTTCCTATCCCCTCCATGTTGTAGGGCTCCAGCTGAAAATGACATTAACAATTTCATGTGTATTATAATATAATAAAATCAAAAATACATCCAGCCCACTGATTGACATATTCTACTGCTTTCATCAGAATGGGCGCATTACCTGCTGAAGGACAGGAAAGGCCACACCATAATACAATGACAAACAGACTTACATACCCATTGTGTACTGCTGCTCTGGGATCTTTACTTGTTTTTACTTTTAACATGAGCAAAAAGAAGGCAAAGAAAAAGATGGCCAAGGCAAAGTTGATCCGATATACAGCTTTAAAACCGACCAGCACATCACAATCTTTATCTGCCTTTATATCAGCCACACTGATTTTAAATCCCCCTTCGCAGAATCCAGGAATCTGAGGGGGAAAAAAAAATTCCAAAGTTATGGAAATGTTCATGTTAATCAGAGATTCTATTTCACCATAGGAAAGCCTGGATTTATAAAACTGACCACTTCAGCAACTGCAAGGCTGGCTGTGGGATTTTTTTTTTTTTAAATATTTATMTTTTTTTAGTTGTAGTTGGACACATTACCTTTATTTTATTTATTTTAATGTGGTGCTGAGGATTGAACCCAGGGCTTCACACATGCTAGGCGAGCACTCTACCGCTGAGCTACAACCCCAGCTCCAGCTGTGGGATTTTTGTCTTTTATTTCCCACCGACCAACAATATGGTTTCCAAAGAGTATAAACAACTTGCACTCAAAAACAAAAGTGCTCTCTTATTTGCTAATAAGGTCATCTCAATTTTCCCATGAGATTTTCCAACTATCAAAGATTCCTTCCAAAGGAGAAGGACTAATCCTGCTTAAAGTTTAAATCTACAAGGAAAAAAAAAAAAAGGCTTAGGATCCCTTTTAAATTCTGTTTTCTCTGGGTTTTGAAACCAGAGCCTGAATCTGTTCATTCTGACAACCTTTATATCTGAAAAAGGACTAATGTCCTAACAACCAAGTCTTGGCTACACTTAAAAATAATTTAAATACATAAAATTAAAATTACAATGATCTTGACTGAATATAACAGTAAAAACAATTAAACTGAAAATAAAATTTAAAAGGTATCTTATCCATCTACTACAAAAAAAAAAATTTWAAAAAAAGTCAGCATGTTAAGGGTACTGTTATTTCTACTTACCTTCTTCAGCTGAGTTTCCATCCCTTCTGTCAGCATGATACAGGACACAGCAGTTCCCAAGAGGAGAATAAAAGCATAGATGAGTCGAGTCACAGTGGAATTTTTAGTGTTGGGGCAGCAACTACACAACAAGCATGATGCGCCACTGCAGAGGCAGGGGACCTGCAGAGAGAACATCACAAGCAGTCTGAGATCTCCTTCAGTGTTCTGGAGTCAATGTTATCTCTGCCACTTTACCTCAGCAAGTTACATAATCTAGTTCTATTTCTCCATCTGTAAAATGGATCTAACAACAGAATTTTCCTCTCTTCCACTTTGCCGAATTAAAAATGAGCATTTAACATAGTGTCTAAAACAAAGAGCCCAATAATTATATCCAGAGAGCATATTTTTTTGTGTTGTAACAATGTAAGAAAGATATAAACTTAACTCCATTTGCTGTTTCCTGAGAATCCCTAGTTGCCAAAGTTGTTTCAGCAACCTCTTAAAAAATAATGATAGAGAGCTAGGGTTGTGGCTCAGTGGTGAGTGCCTAGCACGTGTGAGGTACTGGGTTCAATCCTCAGCACACATAAAAATAAATAAATAAATAAATAAAGGTTCAAAATAATGATAGAGGAAGAATGCTTGCCTAGCATGCACGAGGCCCTGGGTTTAATCCTCAGTACTGAAAAATAATAAAAACAACAGTCATTTAGCTCCATTCAAGAATAACAAAGAGATTTCTCAAAAAGTTAAATATGTATGGTGATACATACCTATAATTCCAACCCTGGGGAGTTGGGGGTCACAGAATTACAAGTTTAAGGCCAGGCTGGAAAACTTAGGGAACACTGTCTCAAAATAAAATAAAATGGTCTGGGGCTATAGCACAGCAATAGAGTGCTTACTTAGCATGCACAAGGTCCTAAGTTCAATCCCCAGTACCAAAAAAAAAAAAAAAATCAAAACACAGAATTACCATCTGATCAAGTTTTTCCATACCTCAGTATAAACACTCAAAGAAAATGAAATACTTATTTATACAAAAAGATAAATGTTCCCAGGAGCACTATTCACAATCAACAAAAGTAGAAACAACCCAAATATTCATTAACTGCCAAGTAAATAAGGTATAAGTAAAATGTGGCATACCCATACAATGCATTATTCAGGTGTATAAAGGAATAAAGTACTCATACATAGTACAATATGGTGTGTGCGTGTGTGACAAACATGACATTAGTTAGTAAAAGAAGCAGACATAAAGGGTCACATACTCACTGTATTATTCCTAAAGAATATGGAAAATAACATCACCCAAGAAAAGAGAAATGCAGTCCCCAGGGAGAAAAAGAGGACAGTATGATCTGGGAGGGGAGAGGGGAAGGCAAACATTAGGCCCTGGGCTATGGTCTTTCATCCTTTCCCAAGGACAATGGGTCCAGAGAGAAAAAGTAAACAAAGGGGCTCTGGGCTGTGGATTTTTAACCCAGTAACAATGAGTTTCAAGCTTTTACAGCTGTTTTCCTGAGTTAGATTTTTAACCTGCACAACTAGTTTCCTGACTGCCCAGGAAGTCCCAAGTCTCTAATGATTAAGTCACACTAAACATTCTGCTATGATTAACTTTCATTAAGACCTATAAAAAGCAGACCCCTCTTATAACCAGTTACCATTTTCTCCCATGTAAATGTGCCATGTGTCATTCGATGCAGCCTACTAAAGTCAGCTTGCAGATCGTGAGGTCTGGTTTCTTTTTGGGTTATTTTTGCTTACAATTCCATTTATATGAAATATTCAGAAACATAAAGACTAGGAGTTGAGGAAAAGGGGAATAGGGAAATGTAGATGTTCTGGAATTAGATGTGAAGGCAAGACAATACTAAAACCACTAAATACCACTGGATGATACACTTTAAGAGAGTTTAAGATTAGCCAGGTGTGGTGGCACACACCTGTAATCTCAGTGACTAGAGAGACTGAGGCAAGAGGATCACAAACTTGAGGCCAGCCTCAGCAACTTAGTAAGACCCAGAGCAACTTAGCAAGATCCTGTCTCAAGGTAATAAGCTTGGGGATGTAGTTCAGTGGTAAAGCATCTCTGGAACTCAATCTCCAATACCAAAAAATAAATAAACAAATAAGAGTCAATATTATGCTATGTGACTTTTACTTCTGATAAAAAAAAAAAAAAATCAGCTCAAACAAGCAACCCAGGGGAAAGGATATAATTTGAAACATTTATATACATACTTGATTAGGAAATTGCTTGACTGGCTTTTGACAGGTGAGGTTATGAAGTCACTTGACAAAGTCAGGCTAATTCAGAATTAGCAGAAGTAGATGTAAACAATGGATCACTTTGGTTTTACAATATGGTCCCAATAATAATTTTTTGTTTTTAACAGATGATACCTTGTGTGAACTTCACCAGGATTTTGTAAGGTTTGGAGCAAGCTGCTAAACTTAATAGCCTAGTTTTCTCATCTGTAAAAAAGAATATAATACCACCTACCTGAACAGGGTTACTATGTGAAAAATATGACGACGTCCAGAATATAAATATACATTGAGTCCCTTCTATATATTTATTGTGTAATTCCAATAGCTAGTAAGAAACAGACCAAGCCAGTCTCAGGCCCAAACACCAAAATGAAGTCTGTATCTGGTAACAGAAATACAGAAATTTTGACCCAGCATAATGGTACATACTATAATCCCAGTAACTGGAGGGAAGGAGCAAGACCCTCCCTCAAAAGTTAAAAAGAGCTGAGGGTGTAAGTGCAATGGTAGAGCACTTGGCTAGCATGTATGAGGCCCTGGATTAAACCGCCAGTGCTGCAAATAAATAAATAAACAGGCAAAAACTGGCACTAATTCTTCAGGCTTATTTTATCTATACTCACACACTATCTCCCTTTAGCTATGTTTTGCCTGACAAATTCAAACAATTTCACAGTAATCACCTACTGTCTGTTATGAGTTGATCTGTGCTCTCTCTAATGGTGAATTCCTAATTCCCAGTATCTCAGATTGTGACCAATTTGGAAACACGGTCCCTGCAGATGTAGTAAGATAAGGCCATATTGGTGTATAGTGGGCACAAAACCCAATATGACTACTGTCAGTCATAAAAAGGAGAAATGTGGACACAGATTTGCAACACAGGGTTGCGATGTGAAGATGAAGACAGAGCTTAACAGTCCAAAGGATATCAAAGACCACCAGCAAACCCAAGAGAAGATATGGCAGGGAAAAGATTCTCCCAAATTCAGAAGGAATCAACCTTGTTGACAACCTTAACCATTCTGTCCCATTGTCCCAGATGTGGAAGACTTACAAAAACTTAAAATGAACAACAAATATACTGCTTATGGCAACTGAAATATTTGACTATTATTTTTGCAGAACTGAAAATTTGGACTTAATGAGTTAATCTTGGACTTCCAACCTCCAAGAATTGAGACAATAAATTGCCTTTGTTTAATACCTTATTATACAGTCCTAGCAAACTAATACATCCATTTATTTACCAACTATCATACCTGTAACTAACCACCTTTAGTGTTCTATCTCCTGCACCTTTACATAGTAAAAATGAGTAAATGTGCAACAAACCTGTCCTATGTGTTATACCATTTCCCTTTTCCATTGAAAGACAACTTTACTTTTTCAGGTGTTGGGGCCCAAAACCCAATCATCCTGGATGTCTTTTCATTTTCCAAAATCCTCAACCAGTTTGTCAGCGCATCAGCACCATCGTCAAAGTATAACCAGGATGTGACTTCCTTCATAGCATCCTTCACCATCACCTTGGTTCAAGCTACAGCTATCGACTCTCATCTGGATTATGTATAAACTCAATCTCACTGCTGTAGGGACCCAGTGGGGCCCCTGAAGTGGTATAAAGATTACTTTAAGCTGAAGACACTGGATAGTCAATAAATGCAGGGAGGAAAAGGCCCTTCTCAGAACTTTCCTCAACTGACTAGAAGCAGCAACTCCTGGAAAAACACCTAGGCTGCCATATATTCCTGTTCCAGGGGAGTTTAAAGAAGTACCTTTCACCTCTGTAAACAAGCATTATTACAAATCTTATCTGCCATTTACCCTCCTAAAAACTCTGTCTTTCCTAGGGGAATAAAAACAAAACAAAAAAACAACTATTTGTTCTTCCTATAGAAGCCTCTTTATGTCCCCTATAAAGTCAGGGATATAAGCTCCTTTGAATTACTCACTAACTATTCCAGTGTGTATGTCTGCTACAAATTATAAACTCTTTTTAGAAAACCCAAAAACAGGGCTGGGGATGTGGTTCAAGCGGTAGCGCGTTTGCCTGGCATGCGTGAGATCCAGGTTCGACCCTCAGCACCACATACAAACAAAGATGTTGTGTCCACCGAAAACTAAAAAATAAATATTAAAAAAACTCTCTCTCTCTCTCTCTCTTAAAAAAAAAAAGAAAAGAAAACCCAAAGACAAATGGGATGCAGTGGTACACAATGTAATCCCAGCTATTTGGGAGACTGAGACAGGAGAACTTCAAGTTTTAAGGCCAGTCTCCACAATTTAGTGAGATACTCTCAAAATAAAAAGATCTGGGATGTAGCCAAGTGGTGAGTACCCCTGGATTCAATCCCCAGCACCACAATAAGTAAATAAATAAATAAGACCCTGTGTCAAAATAAAAATTTTAAGAAAAGGCTGAGATGTATCTCTGAGGTACAGCACTGCTGGGTTCAATCTCCAGTATTATGGGGAAAAAAACATTAAACATCTATATTTTTTTCCCTCTTGCTAATCTCTCTTTTGTGAGTTTAGGAGGGAGTTTTTCCTTCCCTATATTGTTTTATCCTTACGTTGCCACTATCTATTCCCCACACAGCAACTAGAACCAATCTTGTTAAAACACATGTCAGATTATGTCAATCCTCTTTTCAAACTCTGCAATGGCTTCCCTTATCACTTAAAAGTAAAAGCCAAAGTCCTTAAACTCTGTAAGACTGGGCTGGGAATGTAGTTCTGTGGTTCAGGGAACATGTCTTTAGCATGTCCAAGGTCCTGAGTTCAAAAGAGACAAAACAAAACACAACCCAGTAAGACCATATAATGGATATCCATGTGATTTCCATTTGTTTTTGTTTCTGTTTTTGTTTTCTCTTGCTGGGGATGGAACCCAGGACCTCCAGCATGCTAAGACAAACACTCTACGGCTGAGTGAGTCCCCTCCCCCCAGTGCTGCCTTTCTTACTTAATTTCCTGTTATTCTTCGAACTTACTCCACTGGTATAATAAACTCCTTGACATTCCTACTGAATAAAAGGACTGATAAATATAAAAGCCATTTCTAGATATAGCATCAATTAAAATCCTTGTTTGAACTCAAAGCCAAAATGTTTTTCAGGTTATCAAGATAGGAAAGACATTTTGTTTCAAAATACCAATCAATTCACTCCTTAGTATCAATATTGTCAAGTATATATTTTAACTATTTTGTAAATAGATTTACTTCATTAGTGACTGTAAAAATCAACTAGTGAGGGCTAGTAGCTCAGTGATAGTGTTTGTGTAGCATGTGTGAGGTACTGGGTTTGATCATCAGCACCACATAAAAATAAAGGTATTGTATTTATGTACAACTAAAAAATTATTTTAAATCAACTGGTAAAGATTTTTCGGTTTAATGTAATAGAAAATAAAAAAAACTGTAAAGTTAAGAACTACTTCGTAAAACTTGGGGTGTACTGGATGAACTACGTAAAGTGAATTTAGCATTAGATGAACTACATAAAGTGTATTTAAGTCAAGATCAAAAAACTGCTCAAGAAACCCCTAAATGGCCTAACTTCTTTTTTCTCTTAAGATAAACAACCTTAAAAGATAGAAAATATTTTCTGTCCCTAAGAAACAATAGTAGAATGTGCTGAGACCGAATCTTTGGTCAATTGCATCATTTAGGGAATTAAGAAACAATTAGGAAATGATTCAAGGAACCATGCTCCTCTGAAGCAGAAATAAGGAAATTCAACATATTCTCTTTCAAAAATCCTAACATCTTCTTTTCAAAATGTTTACCGTTTACAAAGTGATTCACTTTGTCACTTTATCTGCACAACAGTTCTCGATGTGAGGAATAACAGTGTTTTTCCTCACAGAAAAATAACCTGTACAGGTCCCAAAATGTTAAAGGCCACAGCCTCCAGTTTTGGTGAGCCACCCTTGCACCAGAACCGCAGGCAGGCTTTGGTTAAAATCCCAATCCTGCTACGTACTCCGTAGCTTTGGCAAATCCCGTGTTATGGAATAAAAACATGATTCAAACCGCCCAAAATTAAAGGACGGCACCTTAAGAAGAGCTTCCAAATGAACCCACGGCCCCCCGCGGCGGAGCTCCCATTCCTTGGTACCACTCCAGCGCCCAAGGAACCTAGAGTCCAGAAGGTTCGCGGGGGCGGGGCAATCGGAATTGTAAACAATGGCAGTTAGGCCTCCCACGTTCCGTGAATGCGGAAGGCGAACCGAGCAGCTCCAAGCCCACCTGGGGGAATCGTAGACTGTGGCCTAGACCCTCGAGACCTCCGCAGCCCCGGGCCTAGCTCCTTCTCCCGCGGGCACCTGGGGCCGTAGCCCGTTCGGATCTGGGATAGGGACCATTGCCATTCCCTGAATACCACAGGTCCGTCGAGGACACAGGACTCCGAACTCACCCAGCTGGCGAGGGAGAAAACGCCCAGCACAGCCCCCATGGTGATGCTGTGATGGAGGTGGCCGGTCCGGATGGAGGTGCTCACACGATGTTAACTGCCAGCTGAGGCGTCGCCCCAGAAACGCGACGGTATCTCGGGCCGGAAGTACAGCCCACCCCCGCCCAAGACGCGCGGTTTGCGTCATTGCGTGGTCCCGCCCACTATCCTCCGCAGTAGCTGCCTAGAGGGCACCTGTGATTGGCAGGAGATGGGAGAGGCGTGGCTAAATCTGCCTTAGGGGGCAAGACCTGCAAAAGCTGCTTTCCTATGTATATTGTATTACTGGGAGGCTGATCTGAAGATCTGGGGTGGCGGGAAGTGCATAGATGCGCACAAAGAGACACGCTGTCTACCCTCGTAGAACTTGTGACCTAGGTTGAGGAGACTGACGATAAACATAAATGCATCAAGCCATAGTGTGATGAATACTGTGAAGAAGTAGTATAGGGAATATTTTTTCAATAAAAGAATAGCTTAGTGGTAGAGTACTCTGGGTTGGATACACAGCACCGGGGAGAAAATGCATAATTATATATATTATATTTGTATATAAGTTGTATGTATTTTATAAAATTATATGTATAATTAAATATATATTTAAGTGCCCACTTTATAAGGGAAATATAGATTAGTTGGGAAGTAGTCATAGAAGTCTTTTCTGAGTAATTTATATTTGACTTGTGAACAGAAGAATGGATCCAAGAAATGTTTCCTATGTCAAAGGACAATTCTGGGTTCAGTTCAGTACTGGGGAAAAAAATAACGTCATTATGTTTTTTGGTGGTCATAAACTGAACTTTCTATGAAGGGTAAAGACAGATGGCAGAAGTTGGAGCTGTTAGAAAACATGCCTTCTTGTGGGTTCTGAGATTATGGTTCAATGTTTTCTTCTGGAAGGGCCAAGTGAAGTTAATGAAGCTACAAATGATCAATCCTGGTAAACAGTGAAAACTGGCAAGCTTTGTAGGGTTTCAGAGGTTGAGTCCATAGTGAAATACACCCGAGATGAAGCAGAATATAATGATAGAAGGGCACAGCACAGGAAAGCAGCCACATGGCAACTAGGAATCATCACTAATCCGATAAATAAACATGTTTCAAGCAAATTGAGATTTCCCCCTTCTAGGAACACAGGCTTAACAGATAAGCATCCTACAAAGCAAGTAGAGATAACCCTCCTGAGCAGCTGCAACTCCTGGGCACCAAAAGGAGAGTCCCCTCAGTGGCAACCTCCTTGCCACTTGACAAAGCTCTGTGTACTGTACAAACTCCTCAACTTTCACCTTTATTCTTTTCCCCCTTTGATCCCAAGCCTGTTGCAACACCCAATGCCCTTAAATCTGTCTTCCAGGTGTGACATACTGGAATTAATGGTTCCTTTTCCTGCTTCACCATCAACTTCTCCACCTTTTTTTCTGGGGGTTTGAGTGGCCAGACCAAGTCATCAGGGATCCTGGAGTTCAGCTTCTATCTGGGACCCTGGTAACAATTACACAGGTATCTGCTGAGTGCAAGTTCAGTACCAAGCAGTACATTACTAGGCTATGCATGATTAATTGCTAGGGCAATTGTAACAGAGTCTTAGAAGCGGCTTTTGCTACAAAGCACTGACTCTTCAGTTGGGCCTGCAAATGTAACTAAGAGCAGGATTAAGCCTGGTATCTCCACCTTCATTTTGTATCTTCCTGCCTTGCTACCTTAAACTTTGGGTCAGATTACTGCTCAGCTCTGAGCATGTAGGCAGGTTAATCACTTAAGTCTGTCTAAAAATTGGTATTTCTAGGTTTGTGACCCCTATATTTACATAACCTATCTAGTCCCCCTTCAAGACTGAAGACATCAAGATAAGAATAAGGCATTTTTATTTTTAAGAGAGAGTGAGAGACAGAGAGAGAGAGAGAGAGAGAGAGAGAGAGAGAGAGAGAGAGAGAGAGAGAGAATTTTTTAATATTTATTTATTTATTTTTTTTAGTTTTCGGCAGGCACAACATCTTTCTTTGTATGTGGTGCTGAGGATCGAACCCGGGCCGCACGCATGCCAGGCGAGCGCGCTACCTCTTGAGCCACATCCCCAGCCCAAGAATAAGGCATTTTTAAGATTTGCAAGGACATTCAGCAATCAGCTTTTACAAGGTCCTGTCCAGTCCCTCTGGAGAGGTGCCCAGAGGTCTTCAGTCATTACCCTAAACTTACTCAGTCACACTGGATTCCAGGAACAGCAGAGCCTTGTAAGCAGATCACCCCATGATAAGATCACCTCCCCAAGGGGGAGCAATTACCCCATGACAGGAATTTAGGCTGCTCTCCTAAGCAGGAAGAGTCATCTCACAAGAACTGGATTGTCCCTTAAAACAATAAAGACTTCTCCTGGAGTCACCTTGCAGAACAAAAAACTGAGATAATGATCAGCAGGACCAAGACTGCTTAATTATGCACACTTCTCACTCCCTGCCCCAGTTCTTCCTCTATTTAAACTTAAAGCTCATGTCAGCACCCCCAAAGACATGACTATAGACTCCTGTTCTCTCTGGTCTTCTCAATGTAGCTAGATTGATTAAATTCTTTCCTATTTCATCATTATTTTTGTTTGTGTGTGTGTTTTGGGGAGGGGGGAAGTGGCAAGACCAAATTTGTTGGGACTACCAGAGTCAGGCCTCTGGCCTAGGACTCCAGTGACACTATCTGTTATGGGAACAAAGCTGTAGTCAAAACTAATTAGCTTTACTGGACTGAAGGTATAGCTCAGTGGTAGAGTGCTTTCCACACACGTGCAAGGCCCTGAATTGGATTCTGACACTTCTCCCCCGAATTAGGTTCATTGAGCTTATTCAGCAAGAAAGAACACACACCAGAGACACTAGGAGATGTCTTGGTAAGATGTAAGTGGGAGGAGTTTATTTTAGGACTTGTGTTTATGCAGCTAATGCTAAGGAAATAGGGATCTGTTTTGCACTGGACACGGTCAAGTAGGTGGGGCAGTTCAGGACTAGGAATCTAATCATTTTTATCCAGGAGGTAGGAGGATTAAAAGTTGGAAAAGCAGGGGGCTGGGGATGTGGCTCAAGCGGTAGCGCGCTCGCCTGGCATGCGTGCGGCCCGGGTTCGATCCTCAGCACCACATACCAACAAAGATGTTGTGTCCGCCGAGAACTAAAAAATAAATATTAAAAATTCTCTCTCTCTCTCCTCTCTCACTCTCTCTTAAAAAAAAAAAGTTGGAAAAGCAGCAGAACCCAGTCATGTTACAAGAGGAGATATATAGTTATATTTATGGGGCCAGAATGGTCTTGGCTCTAGTTTCGACCATAGAGTAACCTTATCTGGCATTTGTTTATATTTTGTGATCACTGTTTATGTTCAGTTAGGACATTGGGCCTAGCTGCCAGCAGAATAGTTTTTTTAATTTGTTTTGTTTTTGACTTTTTGCAGTGGTGGGGATGGAAGTCAGAGCCTCATGCACATTAGGCAAGCGCTCCACCACTGACCTATAGCCCCAGCCTTCATTTTTCATTTTCTTTCTTTTTTTTTATGTTTACATATTCTTTTTACATTTACATATTTTTTTACATAAATAAAATACATTTTATTTATTTATTTTTATATGGTGTTGAGGATTTAAACCAGGGCCTCACACATGCTAGGCAAGCACTGTAAGGGGGGGTCCGGCAGAGCGTCGGAGGGAGAGACCACACAAGAGACTTACTCCATGCAATTGGCAAAAGAGGATTTATTGGGGATCCATTCCAGCGCGCTGGGGCTCTGTGCTTACTCAAGAAGGGAGAGCAGCCCAGAGCCCAGAGCAAAGGTCAAGCAGAGCTTAAGTATACTTTTTGGGGAGGGCGGGAGTCTTTGCATACATCAGAACAAATCATCATGAGGCGCGGGGAAATTGAACAACAACTCTGAGACGTGATTGGCACATTCATTGGCGGGCTAGGGTGATTGGTCATTCATAAGCGGGTTACACATTCAAACTGATTGGTTCGGGGGCCCGGTGACGAACTGCACAGGGCCCTAGGCTAAATGGCCAGTAGGGTGTTGTCTTAACTATCTCAGGAATCTGGGTGTAACAGAGGAACTTAATAATACCTAATCTTTTACATTCAAGCTTTCCAGCTTAGAAACTTTACCCTTTCAGCGCTATACCACTGAACTACAGGCCCAGCCCTCATTTTTCATTTTCTTAACTGCAAGTGTTTATACTCCCATATATGTGATACCATCCATCTCTTTAGTGCTTCTGGTCTGTAGATCATTGTGGGCCTACTCTAGTTGTCAAAAATCTGAAGGGCAGATCTTTGAGATCATCTACTTCAATTTACCACCTCATGCAGGACCCCCTCAACATCCCTTATAGGATATAGGATTCACTGACAACCAAGGAAGCTCCTTTGCCAAATGCCAATGTCTCGGCTTGGCACAGAATCACGAGCCACCACACAGCTCTGTAGGTTCAAACAGCAATTCTTCATTCCCGATCTCACACCAGCCTCCACACACGTTCAGGGGCAATCCCAATCTCCAGCACAATTCATGTCCTAAATACTTTCTCTCCAGGAGAACTCAGCGAGAACTCAGGCAGCAGGCACGCCCTACTCCCAGCAGGAATAATCTTCAACCTCCAACTTCCCTAAAACTCCTATTGTCACGCCCTAAACCCAAGGACGGGATACTTCCTGCAGGATACACCCTAATCCTGGATCCACCCTGGTCATTGAGCAGGGTCACCTTTCTCAAACACACAAGCAAGGTCGCAGCAAATCTCCAAGGCAAGTCCATTTAACATGGGGTACGCTGGCAAGGATTATGATGCGTCATTCCTACTTGGCAATGGCTCTCAGCACTCCTTACATTTTTTTTAAACTGCATAAAAGAGTATACAGTGAAATAAAGTGTCCTTCCCATCTTCCCACTCCCAATCTTCCAGATCTCCTTCCAAAGTTTGTGTATAATTATGCTAGCATTATCTACTACACCTTTTTAGACATGGTACTATTCCAAATACATGGTGCTGTACATTGCTTTTATTCACTTAACTTATTAATTCAATAAATATTTACCAAGGGCTGGGGATGTGGCTCAAGTGGTAGCGCGCTCGCCTGGCATGCGTGCGGCCCGGGTTCGATCCTCAGCACCACATACCAACAAAGATGTTGTGTCTGCCGAGAACTAAAAAAAAAAAAAAAAAAAAAAAAAATTAAAAATTCTCTCTCTCTCTCTCTCTCTCCCCTCTCTCACTCTCTCTTAAAAAAAAAAAAAAAAAAATTAAAAATTCTCTCTCTCTCTCTCCTCTCTCACTCTCTCTTTAAAATAAATAAATAAATAAATAAATAAATAAATATTTACCAAGCTCTTACTATGTATCAGGCACCATTTCCAGTGATAAGAAAACAGTAAGGAACAAAACAAAGTACTTCATGGGCTGGGATTGTGGCTCAGCAGTAGAGCGCTTGCCTAGTAAGTGTAAGGCACTGGGTTTGATTCTCAGCACTGCATGTAAATAAATAAATAAAATTATAGGTCCATCAAGAACTCATAAAAATATTTTTTTAAAAAGTACCTAACCTTAAAACAAACTTAACCCTAGTGAAGAGATAAGTAATAAAGAAACAACCATCAGACGTTAACAAGATTAGTGAAGAAAGAAAAGAAGAAAAAGAATTCAGATTTGTGGGGATCTACTGATTTTTTTCCCTTTGAGCCTGGATCTTGCTGTGTTGTACAGGCTAGACTTTAACCAGAAGCCCTCTTGCCTTAGCCTCACTGAGTGGCTGAGACTACAGGCATGTGCTACCATACCTGGCTCATTAGTTTACTAGTTTAAAGAGAGGTCAGGGGCTGAGATTATAGCATAGTGGTAAAATTCTTGCATCACATACACAAATTCCTAGTACTGCAAAATAAATAAAGAGGAGGCAGGACATGCCTTTTGGGGGATGGGATGGGATGGGAGCAGAGACATGAAGGAAGAGAGGACACATTCGATAGGGCTATGTGGAGGAATGCTGGTCCCAGTGTGTACCAGCAAAAGCCAAGCTATCAAAACCCACAAAAACAAGACAAGACCATAGAAAAACACAAGGCTAGTGTGCTGCAGCATGGACAGGCAGGAAAATGGTGAGAGGTGAGGTTGGGCGAGTGTTCAGGGGATAATTCACTTAAAGGGATTGTTGATTACAACAAATCTAGATTTTATTATAAAGGTGATGCAAAGCCGTTAAGAGGCTTTAAACAGAACATCATGGAAACCAGATTTAAAGATAGGTAGTTAGTGTAATTAGGTAAATTGGGTCTAATATCGAGAGTAAGATACAAAATGGAGACCATTATAGAAAACGGAGTCCAGGAAACCAGAGCAGCACTTGGGGAAATTGAAATGTTAATGTCCCCAAGGCCTGGAATTCACCCTAAGGAACTATTAATGAAGCAGCTCCCAGCAAACAGGGAGGTGCTAATCAAACCACCCCAGGCCCTTCCTGCCCAGATTACTCCTTCAGCCCACCTATCTCCCACCTTTAGGGCCTTCCCACCTGCATTCTATTACTGCAAGACAAAGGGAAACAAAGGACAGGAGCGTGGGAAAGCTAAAAGAAGACCTTAGCTATAAAAAAGGGAAGACGTCCCCCTTCTAGGGATTCCACCTTTTGGGTCCCCTTCTTCCTCCTCCTCCTGGGGGGTGGAGGAAGGCTTTTCTGCTGTCCTTTATAAAGCTTCTGGTTTCCACTCCAAACTTACATGGGCATGCTTCTCTGGTGTTATACTTCAGCATTCGGGGAAGCAAGGACTGGTCACCTGTAAACAGTGGTAACATCATGATCCTATTTACACTTTAAAAGGATCATTTCTGGACACTGGTTGGAGTACAGATCACATAATTCCTCTTCCTTGTAATTGTTTTCTTGGTCAGTTCAAGAATTCACTTTCCCAGCAGATAGTAGTCTAATACACATATAGACTCTGGTCCCCTCCATTTTGATGCCCTTTAAAAGTTATCTTTTATCATGTATTTCTTCTGTATTTTACAGCACACAACCGGCTAAGTCAGTTCGAAAATTACACAGGGAAGGAGGATGTCTAAGAGTAGAAGCAGGACTAGTTAACAAGATAGGTCTATTATCTAAACTGTATCTCCAGCTGTCACTTTCCCTGGACCCTTTAAATTCTTGCAAGAGTCATCTATTTTAGGAATGTTCCGGAATCTATTTACTCAAACCTCCTATTGATGGACACTTAGGTCGGTTTCAATCCTTTTGCTTTTACAATAAAGAAAGGAACATTCTTTGTGTTCAGGTTCCAGTATTCTGCAGCATTGCTCCAGGAAATGTAATCCGACCATAAGTTAAAATATATTATTTCCCATATTGAAATTGACTCTGGTGAGTAAATTCTCAGCCAAAGAAATAAGTTTATTTACTCCTTGCTCCCAACTTCAGAGATTATAACAGACAGGAGTCCACCATTCCTCCCAAATTAATTTTCCAGTCTTTTTTAAAAACATTCTCTGTCCGGCAAGCTTGTGCCTGAGGGTCCCTCTCTTTCCCAAACGGTCCCCTTATCGGGTTACAGAGAGATTAACAGATAAAAGCCGCTCCAGAACCAGAAGTTCCAGCCCCTGGCCTCTGTGTCCCTCTTCTCGCATCTTCCCGGGGACCAAGTTCCGGGCTGACAAACCTAACCAGGTGGTTGGAGACTCCGGATCCCGATCCCCACCCTCTTCTCCCTCTTCCGCCCGCACCGCGGCTGCGGAAAGCGACGCGAATCCTCCAGGTCCCATCCGAGCCGCCGTAGCGCGAGCCCCGCTGGAGTTCTCAGCCCCGGTCGCCAAGGCAACGGCTCCGCTGCGGGCTGCGGGCGCCTGGCCGCCCCGGGGAGGCGCTGCGCGCCGGCGGTCCCACACGGCGAGGCGGCGAGACAGCAGGTGAGCGGGGACCAGCGGGCAGTCGCGGCCCTAACGCCCCCAGCCAGGCGTGAAGTGAACTCGTCGCTGTGGGCGAGGTGCTGGGCCGCCGGGGACCGCGGGGAAGGACGCAGGGGCCAGACTTTTGTCCCCCTCAACCGCGCCGGGAGTGGCGCCTTCTATGCCCTTTGACCCCGTCCCGCGTTCGGGTGGAGTGAGCTTTGGGCGGTTGGCTATATTTTTGTGCATTGCTTGACCGCTTTGGAAAGAAAGTTTCTTTCTTTCTTTCTTTTTTTTTAAAAGACCCTTATTATTTTGGGAACCAGGGAATAATTCAAAACTGCAGAAAATGTACGCGTGTGTGACTCTTAAGGGGCCAGAGAGGTTTGACTTCTTCATTAGTTTTCTTACCTGCAAAATGGGAATAATGATAGCACCTGTCTTATAAGGTTATTGCAGAGTAAATTTATGTTTAAAATCCTTGCAGGTAACTCCTTAATACTCGGGAGCTTTTATTGTCACTACTACTACAAGGAGCATCATTGAGCATTTATTGTGAGCCAGGGCCTGGGCTGATCGCCAGGGTTAAAAAAATGAATGAGAAATCTTGTCCTCAGGGAACTCTGCAGTTTCACAGAGACAGACTCATAAACAGGAACTCATTGTGGTTTGAGCTGTGATTTTGGACATACTGAGAACTGAATGCACAGGAAAGGCAGTGGATCTAGATTTTTCAGAGATGATGATGGTCAAAGGTTCTAAAAGAAGGGGACTTCCAGAATAGACCTGAAGGCCGCCTTGGTATAGGTCAGAAGATGAGGCTGGAAAGGTGCAGTGTAGTGTGTAGGCAGGGCAGCCAGTGCAGAGCCCCAGGGAGAGAGTGCAGCCTTCTTGGGAATCTGCAGGGATTTCATGCTGCCTAGAGACAAGATTCTGAGAGTGGAGGTGGTCTAGCTAGTTGATGTTTGAGAGATAAGAAGTTGCCCCTTTTGTAAGACTTTCTTTACCAGTTTGAAGAGTTGGACTTTATTTGGGGGGAGAGGAAGTCATCAAAGGGTTTTAATAGGGGTGTGTGTGTGTGTGTGTGTGTGTGTTTGCATGTACATGTAGGTACATGCTCCTTCAGAGGTATGGTTTCAGAAAAATCAGGTTTTTTGTTTGTTTGTTTTTAGTCTTGTCACTCCTCATTTATTTTTCCACTTCACAGCTATTCATTTATGGTGGTTCAAAAACTAGTTATTGAATATTGTCTTAGACCATATTTTCACCTAAAGCTGGGTAATTTTATAAAGAAAGTTTATTTAGCTCACAGTTCTGGAAGTTCTAGGCAATGACCTTCTATGGGAAAGGGTAACTGGATATTGAACCCAGGAAAACACTGCCATTGAGCTATATTCCTCTTTTAATTTTTTTTTTTTTTATTTTGAGATAGAGTTTTGCCAAGTTGCCTATGTTAATCTTTTTTTTTTTTTTAGAGAGAGAGAGAGAGAGAGAGAGAGAGAGAATTTTTTTTTTTTAAAGAGAGAGAGAGAGAGACAGAGAGAGAGAATTTTTATTTATTTTTTTAAGCTTTCGGTGGACACAACATCTTTGTTTGTATGTGGTGCTGAGGATCGAACCCGGGCCTCACGCATGCGAGGCGAGCGCGCTACCGCTTGAGCCACATCCCCAGCCCGAGAGAGAGAATTTTTAATATTTTTTTAGTTATTGGCAGAGACAACATCTTTGTATGTGGTGGTGAGGATCGAACCCAGGCTGCACGCATGCCAGGCCAGCGCGCTACCGCTTGAGCCACATCCCCAGCCCCAGCCTATGTTAATCTTGAACTTGCAGTTCTCCTGCCTCAGTCTCCTTACCAGCTTGGATTATAGGCATGCACTACTATGCCTAACTTGACAATGGCCTTACTGGCAGAATCAGGGGGTAGCTCAAGGCACCATGTGGCAGGAGACAGAGAGCAGAGTTATGTCTTCTGGTCTGTCTCCCTCTCTGCTACCATTATGCAGTCATGGGAGCTGCACCCTGACAATTTTATCTAATCTAATCATCCCAAAGGCCCCACTTCTGAACTATACCCTCTTAATATCTCACAGTGGAGATTCAGTTTCATCATATGAACCGTTGGGTAACTCATGCACACCATATCCAAACCACAGCAAGTGTCTTATTATGTGCCAGGCACTGTGTAGGTGGTAAGGAAACTGATCTCTGCTCTCATGGAGATCACAGACTGGTGAGGAAAATATGCGTCAGGTGGTTTTAAGTGTAGTGAGGGTTATGAAATGGGGCTTGTGTTAAGGTGAATCCAACCTAGTTTGAAGGTTCAGGGAGGGTCTTGATAAAAGACCTGAGGGAGTAGTGTGAGTTAGATATATGTGGGGGGATGTAAAAGAATAGTATTCCAAACATGTTCAAAAGAACATTCATGGAAATGAAACCAGTCTGCTCCAGCAGGAACTTAAAAATCAATTATGAAAGAAATCCATCAAGAGAGATTAAAGAGAGGAAACGGCTAGATCATTCAGAGCTACTGCACTGCACACTCTGGGAAGAACCTGTTCAGTTAGGCTACACTGAGGAGAACAGGTTGGAGAAGTAGGAGGGAAAGCAGGAGATGTAGTAACGAAGGCCAGAGGAAGAGTCAGCTTTGCTAGTGGCTGCTAGATGTCAAGTAAGATGAGGCAAAAATTAAAATGTGTTCTGTAAATAAATAAGTAGCAGAGGTCACTAGGGACCTCATTGAGCAGATTTGGTGAAATGGTGGAGGCAGAATCTATAATAGCCACAGCTTTCAAAGGTTCAGTGTAATGTATCAGTGGGATGAGGTCAGAGTGGGATGTGAGAAAAAAGACAAAGTGTAGGCAGCTCAAAAACGTTCGGCTGAGCAGGGAGGAGGAGAAGGCTGGAGAGTGATTGAGGAATAAGGTGAAGTTTTTTTTTTTTTTTTAAGCATGAGAGAGAGCTTAAATGCTGTTGGCAACAAGCCAGTAGGAGGGACAGGCTGAGGAGATGCAGRAGCCAAAGAGAAAAACTGAGAGCACAACTTTGCTGAGAAGGTGGGAGTRGGAGCTCCATAGCAGCGGTCCTTGCTAATTATCTCATGGTTTACTCTTTTGGGAGAATTGGGGAGAGAGTTCATTGCCAACAGAAGTGCACCAGTGTCATGCAACAAAAATATATGAATAAAAAATATTACCGTGGAAAGAAAGTCACATTTTTGTAATTGGTAGGCAGCAGGTATTTATTGAACTAATATTGTGTTAAATACTTTTCATACACTAATTTCAGCAATWTCATCCCTCCTTCCCTGTGCTRGGGATTGAACCCAGGGGCATTTTTCCGTTGAGCTCCATCCCCAGCCCATTTTATTTTTTATTTTGAGACAGGGTTTCACTAAATTACCCAGGTTGGCCTTGAACTTGTGATCTTCCCCCTGCCTCAACCTCTGGAGTAGCTGGGATTATAGGTATGTGTTGCCACGCCCAGCTCAATAACATGATYTTTACAGTAATCCTGTGAGATAGGCCCTATTTTGATCTCCAGTTTATGGATGAGGAAACTAAGGTAAAATGCTTACCCATAGTCAGACTGTATTTGAATCCTATATTTTACTCTGCCTGAGCCTAGAGCTTTTACTCTTAATCACTATTTATGTGATATAATTCTCTACCTGTGATATGATTATATGCTAAGAAAATTAAGTTAAAAATACTTAGATATAATAAGGTTGAATGAACAAGCAGCTACAAGACAGAGAACCAGTGATGGCTTTTTCTTTCTTTTCTTATTTTTATTTATTTATTTTTTGGGTGCTGGGGCTGTAACCCAGGGTTTCAAGCATGCTAAGTGCATGTTCTACCACTGAGCTATACCCCCCCCACCCTAAAAAACAATAGCTTTATGCAAGCAATAAGAATTAGAAGATGTAATTATAGAATAAATGACAATAGGAACAGGAAAAAAACATGAATAAACTTACAAATAGGTGCCACATAGAATAGTAGTTGGCTGGAGGTGGGGTGGGAGGATAGGAAGGATATTAGGGTGAAGAGGAGTTAGTTTTCCAGTGGGGAAATTAAGACTATTAATATCAGAAAAGGGGCAGGTAAATAGGGATCTGTAATAGACCATTATGAAAAAGTATGCAAAGATTTTGCCAGTGATGTATTTATAATATTGAAAAACTGAAAGCAGACTGGTTGAATTATGGTGCAGTCATTCGATGGTTGCTTCAGCCATTAAAAAAGCATTAGGTGGGAGCTATATATAGTAAGATATATATAGAAAGATGTTTATGGTTATGTTTCCTATGCATAGAAAGATCTTTGCATCGTATGGTTAGGTGTAAAAAGTAGATTACAGTACAGTATGTTCCCATTTTTTAGAATATATATATATATATATATATATGTATGTTCATATATACATACATATATATGTATGAAAAATGTCTGGAAGTATTAGTTACTTTAAAATTTTTTAAGGGGCTGGGGTTGTGGCTCAGTGGTAGAGCGCTTGCCTAGCATGTGCAAGGCACTGGGTTCGAGCCTCAGTACCACATAAAAATAAATAAGTAAGAAAATTTTTAAATGTTTAAATGTGGTAAAGTACATATGAAATTTACCATTTTAACCATTTTTAAATGTCCAGTAGAGTAGTATTACATATATTCACATTGTTGTGCAACAAGTCTCCAGAACTTTTTCATCTTACAAAACTGAAATTCTGTTCTTAAGCAATTCCCAGCTCCTGGCAGCCCCCACTCTCTTTCTCTGAATTTGCTGTAGTCCCCTCGTGTAAGTGGAACRGTTCAGTGTTCTGTTTTTTGTGAATGATTTATTTCACTTAKYGCAGTGTCCTCAAGGCTCATCCTTATAGCATGTGTCAGAATTTTCTTCATTTTTCAAGCTGAATAATAATTCTGTTGCATGCTTTTACCACATTTTAAAATAAATTTTTGTAGTTGYAGATGGACAGCATGCCTTTATTTAATTTATTTTTTTATGTGGTGCTAAGGCTCG